TAATAAAGAAATACAACCAGGGATTACTTTTTGAAAATTTCATTAAAATCCATCAACTGGTTCATGAGATTTTTTATTTTTTGCTAAGTTAGTTGTTGAGACTGCTCAAGTCTTTTCTATAAAAACACAAAGCTGATGTGGAACAAGAGGACATTTGTTTTTGTTGATCAGATTGATGTTTTAACAGCCGGTGTGGCTCACCTGCTTCTAATTATTGTGTGTGATGTCAGAGTTTGAAGAAGCAGCAGAACTGCTCTCCGCTGACCCCGGGGCGTCCACACTCAGCATGTCTGCAAACGCCCCCTTTGCGACGGTCGGGGCATCCACTGCAGGGGAGGACGTGAGGCTGGATGTGTCTGAGGACGAGGAGGGACAGGAGGAGAGTTCCGAGGTAAAAATACTCATCTGCACTGACAAGTGGAGTCTTTGTCTTTTAGAGAGGAAAGCTGCTGAGACATGTCTGTGCTTCCAGCTCTTAGGAGAACAGAAACCAAGTGGTGGCTTCTGGACGTTTGAATACTATCAGTCTTTCTTTAATGTGGACACGTTGCAGGTATGATCTGACACCAAGTCAATGAATAAAGTTTTTAAGCATCTTCATTTGGACCATCAGTGTTTGCCATCATGTGGTGCAGGTCCTGGACAGAGTCAAGGGGTCAGTGATGCCATTACCCGGAAGAAACTTCATTAAACACTACCTCCGAAGTAACCCAGATCTTTATGGTAAGCAAACAGAAAGATGTCCTGATGCATCTCAGTAATCCAGGTAAAAAAATCAAAAAGAAAAAATTTATATAGGTCTTCTGGACGGGTTCTTCTCTAATGAAACGTTTCGTCTCTCCTCCAAGAGACTTCTTCAGTCTGAGAGTTTCAGGCAAAATTCTGGCTTTTAAGCACTGCCTCCATGTGACTGATACTCACATCACATGGCTATTGTTGACACCTAATTAACACTTATTGTTAACGGGGTGGAGTGATACTGGCAATAGCAGCACTGTAGGAGGGGGACAACTGAAAACGGAGGCCTCCACCTCTGTACGGAATAACCACGTGTTATTCCAGTTAAACCAGTAGTTATTCCGTATGTTGCGGGTGTTTCGGAGAAACTGAGACATTTATTTTCTAAACATGATGTCCCAGTGGCTTTCAAACCCCAAAA